AGACATGGTAATGCAGACACGTAAGATTAGAGGCAAAAGGCAGGAGGCTGGTAAGGCCAGGAAAGTGGAATGAACCAAACAGGGAAGGGACATGAATGAAGCAGGCCTGGTGGGATGCAATAGAGAGTAGTGTGGACTATGGCTAAAGGGAGCAGCTGCTCAGCTCAAGTCAATAGCTGCTTTATGGGAATCTGGGACTCCGCTTTCTGACTCTAATTTAAAGAAGGCAGGAACCCAGATTTTATATAAAATCTTATCATTTAAAAATATTGGCAACAAATTCAATTTAAAAATAAAAACTTGAGAAATGCAGAAGTTGTCTGTAGGGTGGATGTAGATTGCAACGTGACATTTCGAGACTTCTATTACAGATCTTTTATTAGAAACAAGATATCAAGCCAAGTACAATGCCAATATATTGTGCTATTTCTTCTTCTAAAATGAGTGTATGAGGATGAAGTGTCGCACAAAAAAAAAAATCAGGGGTTACACTTCAGGAATCAACTCAGTGATGGGCTTGCTGTCCTAGCCAGCGTATCCAGCAACAGTGGCATTAGGAGGATACTGGTGGCTTTCAGAAGAAGGTGGATCCTCTCATCAAGTCTGAAGTGTCTCATCCCAGACTTAGAACTTGGCCGGATGTGGTCTATTGTACTTGGAATATTCAGTGTGGCCAGCGGCCTTGCCTTCTTGATTGCTCTCCTGTCTACCACTTTCCAACCACAACGGCCTCCAGCTGCTTCCTCCAACAAACCAAACCCAGCTTGTCACCACTTTGCAGCTTTGGCCTTTGCAGTGTTCTCTCCTTCTGGCTTTTTCAGTGTCAGCTTCAACGTTACCTCTTAGGATAATTTTACTCTGACCACTGAGGGTAAAACAGGTCTCCACATCCATTCAAGCTATTTCATGTTTTTTCAAATCAATTATCCTTATGTGACACTATCCATTTATTCACTTACCTATTTACTCTTAACCCACTAGAATGAAAGTTTAAATAACATGAGGGCAAGGTCTTCATCTTTCTTTTCCACAACTGAATCCCCAGCATGGGGAATCATACCTGCTGTCCAGTAAGTGCCCAATAAATGTATTGATTATAAACACTAGCAACAATAAATACATACAGAGCTTGTCATGTGCTAAGCACTGCTCTAATTGCTTTACAACCTTTACCCATTTACTCATCTCTGCAACCCTGTGACAGGTACTATTATTATCTTCATTTTAAAGATGAGAAAACTGAGGCACAGAGAGGTTAAGGTTACATAGCCAGTAAACAGCAGTTCTGGAATCCAGACCTAAGCCATCTGGCTCTTGAGTCCATGTCCAGTATTCACTTTCCAGGGTCCTAGTGGAGCTTAAATTGGGGCTGGGGTTGGGAGAAAATGATAGTTGGGTGAAAAAGAAATCTGAATACTCATAAGTGAGTTTGATCCCTAAAAACAGAGAGGGTTCCTTTCATCTAGTGTGACTGTGTGCATCAAGATGGTATCATTCTGAAAAATACATTTCTAAGTTGTGATCTTCTTAGAGACATATATCCAAAAGCCTAATTATTCCCTCTCATCCTGTGTTTCTGCAGTTGATTTGCGAGATAAAGCCACAGGGCCATGTCTGTAACATCCTGATCTGTTCCAGGAATGCCTGTGATGAATCAAAATATTATTCTTTTAACAAATGAAGCAGTAAGCAGCAGGAGTTGGGTTATGAAGGACAATATTCAGAGAATGTTTAGACACATGATTAAATGACAATTTGGGGAGGAGCGCTAGAAAAAGGAGACTGTCGACACCTGAAGAGCTTTGTGTGTGTTGTGAAGTTGCTTATGAGTGAATGCCTGCAATGGAAGTTTACCTCTGTCTCCTGCTGTTTGGAGGAGTCTCACTTTCTCAATTTATATTCCTGACAGCCCTTTTTGTTCCTTCTAGTTACTGCCTTGGCACTTGACTAATCTGCTTTTTCATACATTAGGGTTGGAGTAGAATGCAAAGAAATCACAGGTAACATTTTATCAAAACGTCTAGATCCAGCTGGATTTGTGGACTCAGACCCTACTCAAGACCTCATTACGAAGTTTGTTCATCCTAGACAATGAAAATAAGACCTGGAATAATTTGATAGGCATTTTGATTAATGATTTGAAAAGTTACCATCAATGAGTTACTTAAATATGTCTTGCTTCAACACTTAAACCGAGGGTATTCACATTATTGTCCAAAAGATCCTATAGTGTAGCTAAAGTGCCTCGCACAGTTCTGGGCACTTAGTAAATGATGCTGCTGATGATAAATACAATGACAGTTACCAGATTTCTAACACCCTTTTATCCCAGGCTAGAATGCAGAAGACATGCTGATCTCACACTATTGCATCCAAACATGCCTTACCACACTATCCCAAACATTTTTGTTTGCATTTCAAAGGAGATGGGAGATGGCTTGTTTAAAATTTTCAAGTCAATTCACTTTGAATTCTCATTTGAATTTCCAAGAACTGACCACCTACTAATGATATAGATGCTTGTGCAACTCACATCCAGATGGGCCCCCACCTCCACCCCGTGGCTACCATATGCCCCTTTGTCTGTGTTGAGAAGAAGTTCTCTGGTGCTCAAATCGATTTTATTCCTTGGAACCAGGGCTGGTTTCATGGGTGTTCAGCCTCTGTGGTTGCACAGGGTCTGTTCTCAGATGCATCTTTGTTGTTTTGTTTTGTTTTGTTTGATTTTTTGAGACAGGGTCTCACTCTGCCACCCAGGCTGGAGTTCAGTGGCTCTATATCATCTCACAGCAACCTCCACCTCTCAGGCTCAAGTGGTTCTCATGCCTCAGCCTCCCAAGAGCTGGGATTACAGTTGCGCACCACCACACCCAGCTGATTTTTAAAATATTTTTAGTAGAGACAGGATTTTGTCATGTTGCTCAGACTGGTCTCAAACTCCTGGGCTCAAGTGATCTGCCCATCTCAGCCTTCTAAAGTGCTGGGATTACAAGTGTTAGCCACAGCGCCCAGCCCCAAGTCTCTTTTGTTTTAATACTCCGCTGTCACCATTTTGAAATTCTTAATAACCCATGAAAAGTGATCTTGCAAATTACGTAGCCAGTCCTGCTAGAAACATACTGAATATCTGATATGTAGAAACATAAACAATTTTATAAATTTGGAATTTAAAAAATGTTATCAGAGTATTTTGTAGTCCTGAAAAAAAAATTCTACTGTAAATAGTTTAACCAGCTCTTAGACTAGTCTTTCTGAGATCTCTGTAATTAGGATCAGAACTAAAATAAAAATTTCTAATGAGCTGAATTACCAAAATCCATTTGAAACTGGATTTGAAGAATATGAGGCCTATGACTGAGAATACGGTGTTCTTAGGAATACATCTTACAGCTTCTATCATTCCTTCTGGCTTGCTCAAGGAGTTTGCCCAAACTGAGCCCAACATCACTGGCTGGTAGAAAGGTCAGCCTTGGTGTCAGCAGGCCATAAGAAAGATCATGAGCCCCAGGAAACCAAGGGGGCCCTTTTCCAAGGACCATTTTATCTCCCTGTTGGCTTGGAAAGCCATGGCATGGCATGAAGCCCAGTCAACCTTAATTCAGATGAATGTCATTTCACAATCACTTTTAAATCCAACGTTCTCATTTTTAACTAAGATATGCTTGCAGCTGGACAATGTTCAGGCATACAGAATAACCCAAATTAGTCTTAAAAAGCTGTATGTTTTCTTTCCTCAAATAGAGGTCCTTCTGGGACTAGCATTATTTAATGAATAGATGAGACTGGTGCATAATTAGCATATCAGTTGTTTAGCATATTCAGGAGAATAACCTTCAGCACTTCAAGAAATATATGTGTGTAAAAACTCTGAGTTCTGTTTATGGTTTTAATGTGTTCAGAAAAGCTCTTTTTCATGGATTCTCCAAAGGTCAGTTGTTGTTCAGCCTATGTCTGCATTTTCACAAACTGAGAATTTGAGAACTCCAAAATAAAAAGCTTTTCTATATAACAAATAAAGATACTCAGTGGGAAGACTTCATAATACCCAGGCTATGACTCATTCTAAATGTCTCCTTCTGCCTTTTGCAGTGAAAGATGGCTCCATTAAGTTGGGACCTATTTTTTAATTGTTATTTGTTTTTTGGTCACAAAAGTGAAAAAAAAAATGCCTGATTGCTAGATGTACGTCAAGTTATAAAAGAAACCAAAGCTGTGTTTGATCCCTCGGCCAGCCCACCCTCCTCTCTCTGCCACTAACTCCTCCCTGCAGCAGATACCCTGCCAGGCCTTGCCTCCATGCCTGGTTCTCTCCCCAGGACTTCAGTCTCAGTGACAGGTCTAGTAGTCACCTTTGACCCACTGTTCTCTCCACCTCCTGCTCATGTTCAATCTCTTCCCACAACAGCCAAGGCAATCCCCTTAAAACATGAACCTGATTATGTCACTCTCCAACTAAAATCCTTCAATGCCTCATTATTAAGAAAAAGTCCAAAACCATGAAAATTGGTTTCAAGGTCCTACAGGTCTAACCTTGGCCATCCTCCTGCACCCTTGTCTCACCATGGCCCAGCCTCACAGGGTTTCTTTGCCTTCTTTGAAAGCCTCAGGTTCCTCCCTCCACCATCACCAGGTTTTGCATTTGCTCTCTTTCTTCTTCAGAGAATACTCTTTCCTCAAGATCTCCCCTCTTTATGGCTCAAATTTTAGCATAAAATGTACAACTTCCTTGGGGAATCTTTCTGGGATCCCCAAGACAAGGTCAAGTCCTCACCTATATTTCCTCCTAGCCTGCCTTGCCTTCCTTGCACTTGAGGAATTTATAATCAAACATTTAGTTGTGTGATGGTTTTATAATGTGGGTCTCCCCTTCTAGAGTGTGAGTTTCCAGGAGTCTTGCTCTCCACTCTGGCCCCAGTGCAGCCCAGGGCCTCAAAGGTTGGAGGTGCTCCATTGGCACATCCTCCACCCTTGAGTGAGGAGGAGGGAACAGAATAACTCACCGCGCTCATGAGCGAGTCCAGGACACTGACGGCAAACGCTGTCCCGCAGGCAAAGGGCTGCGTGAGGTACAGTTCTGTATCGGGGTCATCATCATCATCTTGGTCCAAAAACTGAACATTAGTATCATTCACTGGAAAAAGCATAAAATAAGAATTAGTTCTGAAGACCACACACAGGTAGTGAAGCCAGAGGGAGACCAGGCTACCGGTTTAGAAACACCGAAGTCATTGAGGAGGAAACAAAAGCATGGAAGAAGCTGTAGATGGATCTTTGGGTGAGGGCGCAGTGGGACTCAATGGACTGTTCCTGTGTCACTGTTTAAGTGTCTGAGACCTGGAGAGCAATGAGTTCGAGCAGGCTTGCTCCACGGCAGGCCGCTGGAGCACCAATAGACTGTGCTGGCCAGTCTTTTGGCATAGTTTTAGGATCATGACCTAAAAACACCTTCCAGTGCTTTTTGGTAATGAAGTCCTTTGAGAGATGGACATATTTCAATGATGAGCAGCCATGCTGGGAGAGTCATTTTAGCCACAAAGAAAAGAAAGCAGCTTACTGGGAGTAAGGAGCGCTGGAAGGGCAGCACAGCAAAGGCAGATAGCAAGGAATGCACCCGCAGGCATATCCCACAGCCTACCCACTGGGATTGGCCTGGGTAGTTCCCCGGGGTCCCAGGCCCTAAATCTAGGTCCACACCCAACAGGCCCTGTTTAATACACAGGAAACCCCAGGTGGGACGGATGCCTGGCTGTCTCTTGCTGCTTGCCGACAAGGACTTGCTCTGAATTTTGAGTTGCATGGGGACGTCCCATGTTCTCCCTTTCCCCTCCTAAACAGCTCAATCTTTTATGTGCTTGCATTCAAGCAGTTGCAGCATTGGATGCTGTATTTCATTTCCATCTGAGGATTCCTCAAGGACTCCTCCCGCACGCACGTGCAGACTGATTAGTTGTGTCACTCAGATGTCTTTAACTTATTAAAAATTAAATGACAAATTAATTTCCATTCCCATCTTGGCTTCGGAAATTATCAGTTTTGCAGAGCAAGTAATAGGGGAAAAGTCGGTGGGGGGATGGAAGAAAGGGGCATTCACAATTTCTGGAATAATTATTGTGCTTTTAGGAAGAGAACAGATGAGGTTTCCTTTCCCTGATTCCTTTCTAAATGTATCAACAGCTAATTCTGTTTTCTAGAGTTATTGTTTTAATTTTTTAAGCAACTTTCTTGGTAACTCTTCTTTAAAAAAAAATAAAAACTTTTGTTTATTGTACAAAGCAGAATAAATGATACTAGCATGAAAGGCTAGGCATGGAATTAGTATTTTTAAATGACACCATCTTGTTTCCCTAGAGAAAGATTCTAATGGGGGAAAAATCTTGGTTCTGTTCTTCCAAACTTGGTCACATTTGGGTCCCCATTGTTTCAGCAGCAATTGAATTGCAGGCTAGTGGTGAAAGTCCAAAATCCAGGCTCTGACAACTGGGCTTCAGTCCAGCCTGTGCTGCCAACTTCCTTGGGCAAAGCATTTCATCATTCTACACCTTAGTTTCTGTCTCTGTAAAATGGGGGAGTTATAGCAACTCTCTCATGAGGCTATCAGGAGGCTCATACAAATGGGATTGTGCCCAGAAAGCCTGGTCCAGCATCTGGATCATGCCATGACTTGATAAATGCCAGCTGCGATCATGATCTCCCTTCTGACATTAAATACCTGTCTACCCATTACAGCATGAAAATGCCCAGCTTCCCTCTGCCTCTCTTGGAAACACTGAAGGTCTTGCTCAGGGGTCTTTCAAGAGGTAGCTTTTCTTCACCTCCCTTCACTTGTCCAAAGGAATGTTGAAAGTCACTGTTTAGTCTTTCTGATTTGTGAATCAGAAAATGTAAACCGGAGACCACATATGGAAGAATGTGGTTTTAGTTACTCGTAATAGCCACCAATAGTACGTGTGGCAGTGCTCCAAAAAGCACAGCATCTGTTACCTCTTATCAGGAAGACGGGAAAGGGTTGGTACCAGATATGGAGGTGAAGTGACTCCAAGTAGTGGGAGGGGACTCCAGATTGTCAGTGAGCTAGGCATTTGGGGTCATGGGAAAAGCACTCCAAGAGACTAGCCAGGGTCCAGTGAATACCCTGTATATTGTTCTGAAATACCCAGTCTCAGAAGGAGAGCAAGCAATGCTACCCAAGGCCTATTTCACAGAACAGTAATTATGTGGGTGCTAAGAGGTACTCACATAATCACCCCAAAGCATATGTGGTCAAACACAATTGGGATAGTCAGGTGAAACAGCTTTAACACAGTCCTTTCTTGTGAGACTCTGAGGAGCCTTTGCCATGCTAACATCAATTGAGAGTCTCCAAGTAAATGAAGAGTGGAATGTGCTACACAGCTTTGAAAGCCTGTGTGGCCTTGGTGCCCTCTGTGTCTCTTAAAATTCATTATACTGGCCTGGCATAAGGCAGAACACATCTCAGAACATGTAGATAAATAAGAAGTATTCGTGGGGGATGTGGGAGGTGAAGTGGTCTGAGGAGGGTGCTATAGCGGCTAGAGAAATAGGTTTCAAGGCAGAAGATAAGGGTGGTGTGAGCACCTCAAAGATTCTCTGAACACAAGGAAGAAATCTGGTGTAGGACAAAGGCTTCTGGAGAGTCAATGATGCTAATCAAATACCAGAATTGTTGCCTTAAGTTTGGGGCACCAAGCTTTTCCTTTTCTCTTCTACTAATGACAAATTAAGATATCCTAGTTAGTCAGCAGCACGTGAATTTCAAATAGAAAATGAAATTCCTGGCAGTGAGGATTCTGAAATGCTGCTGTAGGTTTGTGAGATGGAGATGTTTGGATTAATTTTCCAACCAGAGGTGTGGACCACACAAGCCCTGGGTCTCTTGTGGCCCTCCAGTTCTGAGGAGAGGAATCCAGAAACCTAGGGCTTTTAAACAACTACACTAAACATGAAAAAACACCCATCCTATGGTTGGAAACAGAAAATAGTGTGATACTCCCTGACCTGAGTGAATTTGTCCTGATAAATAGCTATACCTATAATAATGCGGTGTTGAGTGGTGGACAATTTATTCCTTAGTTTCTAGACACCTTGCAAGCAAGATTACTGTGTCAAAAGCCTGCTCCCTTATTTTGAAATATATTTTTGGGCCAAGAAAATGGAGTGTTCATTTCATTTGTGAGTCATGTGAAGGCAGGTGCTCCCACCTCTCTATCCACTCCTCTGCTGAGCAGCACTTTTGCTGTCTCTATTTAGAAGATCAATCCCCAGTTCTGAGACCAGCTGCTGATGGGTGCCCTTCATGGAGTTATTAACCAAGTCATGGGGAAGTGGGAAAGAGCCTGATAAATGCAGTCATGACTGGAGGCCTTTATCTTCCACCTGAGTCCATTGTGAATCTCCCAGAGAGGGTTCTGGGCTGGGAGTGGGGGCCAGAGTGCAGGGCTGCACCTGGGTGGCTGCTAACGTTATCCTCTGCACCCTTCTTGAAATCTGCCTTTAGTAAAAAAGGTTCCCCGAGGGACCAGGGGTTTTTATGGCTTCAGAACCAGAGCTTCTGAGAAATGCCCTAGTAGAGGGGGGGAAAAAGGCAAATAAAGTCAGAATAAAGAAAAATAAACAGCTGGAGGGAAGGTGCCATCTTAGGTTTCTTATCTTAAAATTTTGATATTCTCCTTTAACTTCCTCTGAGAGCTGTGAAGACATGTCACTCAAACTGACAGTGTATTTGGAAGAGAAGTAGAAGGGAGAAGGCGGGAGAGCGGGGTGACAAAAAAAAAGTGGGGAAAAAAGGCTCAGGCCAGAGAAAATGAATTAGAGCAAAGATGCTTTGGAAACAACTGCCAGGTCAGATGGGTGTGATCAAAGGTTTACTGATGCTGTGTGGGGAAAAAATCATTAAGAAAGGCCAGAACAAGACAGTCGATTCCAACCAGAGCCACAAATAAAAACACATTCAAAGCAGTGCCATGGGGTAGCCTTTCTGTTACAGCCGGCGAAATAAAAACAAGCTGATGATAGTTGGAAACACCAACAACAGAACAAAAGGAGATACTGATGTGAAGGAAAACAGTGCTTCTTACCCAGTTCAGTTATCATTAGAATGTGCGTCCCACTGTTTTTTTCCTGATTGACTGATACCAAAGGCAACTTGCCCGGTTTAGCTAATTGGATACAGCATTTAAGGGTTGGGGAAAGGGAGTGGAGGAAAGTACAGAAAAAGAAGAGAGTGAGGGAATAACAGAGGAAACATTCTCAAGTAAAGGGACCCCGGACCACAGGTAGTTTGTATTTGTCTTGGGGAAAGAGGCCACTCTACAGTTTTGCACACTTACTAATTGTAATAGGGAGTGCCATGGCCAGGTTAGAAGTTAGATTCTATTGTCCAACCAACATGGCCCTCAAAACCCCATCATTTTGGGGGCCAGAATGGCATTTGCTGAAAATGGCTTTTGGCTGAGATATTCAACTATAATACGTTAAATGTGGAGTTATTACACGTTAGCCCAGGGCTTCTACCTTGTTTCCAAAATGGGTTTGGCTTAGATCCGAGGCTTTGCATATCTGTGGAGGGCTCAGATTGTAGGAGCTGTCCAGACAGAATGCTCAAAAGAGGTTCTTACAGTAAAAATCACCAGAAAAAATCCATGAACTAAGCCTTTCCTCCTTTTCTCTCCATTCCCAATTGTATGCCCCAATCGCAAATCCATCATCTCATGCTCCTTTGCAACCAGTGACCAGCATGAAGGAAACTGTCTATTCATCTCAGAAGAAAGATAGATCAGTTTTCTCTTCCAGTAATCTGCCATATTTCTATCCATACCTTTCTCCCAGCTCCCTCAAAACAAACCCCATAGCAGCTACAAAGTTGAAAGGGCTAAGAAACAAACCAACCTCCTCATATCCTTTGTGGTTTGAAAGAGAGAACAAAAATCCCCCCCAAAGCTGACATTGACCCCTACCTAGTTCAGTGATGATGGGGATGTTGACCCCAGTTGTGATGGATGGTTGGCGTAACATCCCGTGCACTGGGCTGTTATCTGGAGAGGATCTATCCATTCCTGGAGGTGTGAACCCTGGAGGGAAACAGAGGAGGAAGAAAAATCAGAGAAGTAGAAAATTTGGAAAGAGAGTACACTATATACACACAACCCCAAAAATATAGCTTATGCATTATTCACAGGTCAACAATTAGTATTCCCAGGATAAACTCTGATGAGTTTTTTATTCTTTAGAAGGACAAGGTAGGAAACCATTATAATCGTAACTCACTTCATAGTTCCCTAAAAAGTCCAGACTCCACACCAATTATTTATTCTGCTCATAGATTTTGGCTCCCATCTCTTTCCAGGGACACAGGAGAATTATCCCCTGTTCCCCCTTGCAGTTAGATATGGCTATGTGACACATGAAATGCTCTGGCCCATGAAAAGTGAACAGAGCAATGCATATCACTGCTGGTTCAGGTATTGGACGGCCATCTCTCTCTTCCCAGGCCATGGCAACTGTGAGGACACAGGTTACCATGGAGATGAAAGCTAGACAGCATCACTGGACAGCTGCCCAGACCCACAAAGCATTCTGAGTGAGTGAAAAATAAAGCTGTGTTGCTTTAATCCTCTGAGATTTGTTTGTTTGTTTGTTTGTTGTTACCACAACATAACCTAACCTGGCCTGACTGTTACCGTAGACCAATCAATTTCTTATCCTCTTGCTGGCGAGTGACTTAGGCCTCAGTTTTCACAGAGTTCTGGCCAATGGGAGGTGTAAGGAAATCTTCCTGGGGCTTTCAGGAAGTGTTTCTTTGCTCTTAAAAAGAAACATATAGGAAGAGATTCTCTTTTAATTTACTGAGCACTGTTTTATGTGCCTGTAGTGTCAGGAACTGAGGCACCAGCTAAGGGCATAACTAACTTAGTGATTTTGGCTCAAGTGAATGACAGGAAAAGCTGTCCTGGAGTTCCTGGGGCAAGCAGCCTGGAGCCATCTCACCTCAGGACTTCTCCCTATGTGAGATTTTATACACATAAACACACACACACATGCACACACACACAAACACACGTATTTATACATATACATACACACAATATAATACGATGTACATATTTTTTCTGTTTAAGCTAAATGGAGAAGGAGTTTACTTGCACCTAAATCCTCCTGACTGATGTATATGCCACCTGCTTACGGCTGATCCCTTGAACTTCTCAGCATGCCCAACACAGACCACATAAGGTATATGTGGACACGGGAAAATTGGAAAGCAGCCTGCTGGGTCTCCAATTTTGCAGTTTGGGCTTCTTTGGGTCTCAGGTCCAAGTCCCAAGGACATACCTGGATGAGGTTGGAACAACTGTAACTTTTAGTTTAGTGAGAGTGAGAAATATCCTGGCTAGGCAGAATGGCTGCCTCGTTAAGGTTTTGCATGGACACATATCAATATTAGAAATCCATTTACCTCCTGCATTCATCTGGTGAAAATTAATTTTTCTAATGAAGCATATGGCATCTCCACGCAAGTGGCAAGACCCAGTGCACTTACATTTAGATGACAGGCAAGCATTCACATTCACTTCGGTTTCTCATTTTTGCCCTCAGCAGAATGCTACATGGGCTTATCAATGAATTAGGGATGAATTTTAGGAACAAAGTCACTCGCTAAATTTCCAAGGACAAAACTCCAAATAGATTATTATGTGACCAGTTCCCTGACTCACTTTCCAGCAATGTGACAAGATTGTGTTGAGTCTGGCATTTTGGCTAGGTGTGAGTCAGGAATGAAATAAGGGAGCTCAATAATTGCCTATTGTTTTGGAGGTGCATAATGCATAAAATGCCAGAGAAATATAAAAGGGTTTTCTTACTTTCTGCTCTCCTGTGTGTACATTTCTTATCATTGAGTGCCATACTTTCCAAAAGAAAAACAAAGTTTTACTTAATATCCATTCCCTGACTGCACTTAAATTGACTCTTTACATTAATATACTATGAAAAGGGTAAGTCATTTGATTGACACTATAGTGTCCATCTTTTCAAACTTTGGAATATGTGTTTTTCAGCCAACCACACAACCAAAAACATGCATTTTTAAATGCTAGCTATTTTCTTCCTCTAGGATGGTGAAGGGGAAACTAAACTGTTTTCATCAGAAGTTTCATTCAAAAGCATGAAAAACTGGAAGTGACAGCTGTGCAGATTCAGTGGATGTGACGTTTTTGAATTTCTTCAACTTGACAAGTAAACACCTTAAATCGGTAATGCTATATGCATAATACATGGCCTGTATTTTGACATCCATCATCAAATGCTGACTTGAGAAAATACGGGTTTGTACGTCAAGGAATAGCACCCATAAAGCAGGGAGAAATGCAGGTCACACGATATTAGGAAAACTGTATTTCATTACAGAACTCGCAACAAGCCACAGCATCCTTTTATTTCATCTTATTTAAAGATTCCATTTTCAGCTGTGAAAAGACTCAATTCCTTTGCATGAAACCTTCATTTAGAAATGACATGCTTGCTTCATAGGCTTCTTTCATTTTGCTTTCATATTCCATTTTCCCCTTCAGTCACCAGGCCTGGTTCTATTAGCATCTGAAACTGACAAACTATAGTGGGTGTCCAAAGACATCTCTCCGTTGAAGGCCTGACTCTCCCCCATGCGTGACTCCCCAAAAAAGTGTGCTTTTATTGGCAAGAAAACTTCACGCCTCTTTTTGCTTCCCTACTTTTCTAGTCACAAATTTTTAAAAGAAAATTTTTTTAAAAAAAAAAACAACAGCAAAATTGGTTTCCTCTTTTTCCCTGGTATAGAGTTATGTTAAAAGTGAACACAATTTATTAGCATTGTTTCTTTCTTAGGGGTTCTGATATGGGAAAATGATAGTCAGAAATGGCAGGATGCCCCAGATTCCTTAAATGGCTTTGGAGAGAAGAGAAATTCAGGCACCTTCCATACAGGGATGAGGCAATTCAGCCTTTGATGCCACAGGATGGTGTCCACCCCATTCCTCATAGCTGCATTTGATAAAGGGGCAGGTCTAAACTGTGGCCCAGTCTCTGACCGTCTTGCTCCCCTTCTCATTATTGCTTGCAGCCATGGTTATATCATGGGTAGCACCTGAAGTCTCTCTACATTAAACAACACCCTAGTTCTGCATGTGAAAGCACTGGCACGTGGAATATACTCCAGGGATCTACAGCTAGAGAACAGTGAAACTGGGAAACACTCCCTTCATTAGTTAAACTAACACTTGGGAAATTAATTTTAGAAACAACCATATATTTTGCCAGAAAAGATGACTAAGAATATCACCATCAGAGATGTGGAATGAGAAGTCCTCAATCAGGAGAAGACTGAAGTTTAAATCATCCACAGTCAAAGCTATCATCAGATGGGCTCCTGATTCTTTAGCTATGTCCCCATAGCACTTTGTTGAACATGGCCACGGGAGGCAAGTTTTGTGCTAAAAATGACTTCCATATGTTTGTTGGCCATTTGTATATAACATCACTAATGATCAGGAAAATGCATATCAAAACCACAATGTGATACCACCTTGTTCCTGCAAGAATGGCCATAATCAAAATTTCAAGAAACAGTAGATGTTGGCATGGATGCAGTGAATGTAAACTACTACAGCCACTATGGAAAACTCAAAGAACTAAGTGTGGAGTGTGGAGATTCCTCAAAGAACTAAAAGTACATCTACCATTTGATCCAGCAATCCCACTACTGGTATCTACCCAGAGGAAAAGAAGTCATTATTTGAAAAAGATACTTGCACATGCATGTTTACAGCAGCACAATTCACAATTGCAAAATCATGGAACCAACCCAAATGCCCATTAATCAATGAGTGAATAAAGAAACTGTAACATGATATATATATATATATAGAATATATACATACAGTCATACAAAGGAATGAATGAATTAACAACACCTGCAGCGACCTGGAAGAGATTGGAGACTATTATTCTAAGTGATGTAACTCGGGAATGGAAAAACAGACATTGTATGTTCTCACTGGTATGTGAGAACTAAGCTATGAAAATGCAAAAGCATAAGAATGATACAATGGACTTTGGGGTCTTAGGGGTTAAGAGTGGGAGGGGAACGAGGGATAAAAGACTACAAATGTGCAGTGTATACTGCTTGGGTGAAATGGTGCACCAAAATCTCACAAATCACCACTAAAAAACTTACTCATGCAACCAAACACCACCTGTACCCCAATACCCCAATAACTTATGGAAACAATAAAAATAAAATAAATAACTTCCAAAGACCACCTGACCTCCTTACACTAAAGTTTTCTCCCCACTCCAATCTTCAGTGGCCAGTGTGGCAGGCTTTCGTTATCTATTTTATTCATTCAGCATGAGGCATAAATGCCTTGACCAACTTTATCTCATGACAAGTATTCTCATTCCATATACTGTATAAGAACTTTAGGTCAGAGACTGGATTTTCATTTCTTCGAACTTCCCAGATTATCTACAAAATGCCCAGCACATAGAAAAGAAATAGAATGAAATCGTTAACAGCATGGGCTGTAAAGTCAGGTGTCATGGATTCAAATTCTCCCACCTCCACTTATGAGCCATGGCACTATAAACATTGTGCACACTCTCTCCAAGTCTGCTTCTCCATCAATAAACCAGAAATACCTCCTACACAGGACAATTGTAAGGCTAAAATAAAATAAAATAAAATAATGTATTGAAAACATTTAGTACAATACCTGGTATGAAGCAAGTACTCAAAAATGCTGGCTACCAATATTAATATTTTATTAGACATACATTATTGTGGATCACTTCCCCTTCCATATGGACAAAGAACTGAAGAAGTATTTAGTAGATTCTTAAAAAAGAATTTTCACACAGAGAAAATCCTAGAATATTAATGAGAAGGCAATAAGCATTGTGTGTGTGTGTGCGTGTATGTATATATATTCTATATACTGTATAAGAACTTTAGGAATATTGTGTGTGTGTGTATACAATATTCCTAATGTGATCATGTGTATATATGTATATATATACACACACACACACAATATTGTGT